ATATTTTTGAGGTGACAGTTTAAAGGAACACCAATGACTAGAACTGACCTCTGTTCTTTTATGCTTCACATCGAGCCATAATTATATTTTTTTCTTCGAGAGCCAGAGAGTTTCCATATAATATGCCGTCAGGGCCCCTGAACCACATATTTTATTTCGCCTGATTCAGGAGACATAGATTATAGAAACATAGAATGTGATGGCAGATAAGAACCATTCGACTCATCTAGTCTGCCCAATTTTCTAAATACTTTCATTAGTCCCTAGCCTTATCTTATAGTTAGGATAGCCTTATGCCTATCCCACACATGCTTAAACTCCTTTACTGTGTTAACCTCTACCACTTCAGCTGGAAGGCTATTCCATGCATCCACTACCCTCTCAGTAAAGTAATACTTCCTGATATTATTTTTAAACCTTTGCCCCTCTAATTTAAGACTATGTCCTCTTGTTGTGGTAGTTTTTCTTCTTTTAAATATAGTTTCCTCCTTTACTGTGTTGATTCCCTTTATATATTTAAATGTTTCTATCATATCCCCCCTGTCTCGTCTTTCCTCCAAGCTATACATGTTACGATCCTTTAACCTTTCCTGGTAAGTTTTATCCTGCAATCCATGAACCAGTTTAGTAGCCCTTCTCTGAACTCTCTCTAAGGTATCAATATCCTTCTGGAGATACGGTCTCCAGTACTGCGTACAATACTCCAAGTGAGGTCTCACCAGTGTTCTGTACAATGGCATGAGCTCTTCCCTCTTTCTACTGCTAATACCTCTCCCTATACAACCAAGCATTCTGCTAGCATTTCCTGCTGCTCCATTACATTGTCTGCCTACCTTTAAGTCATCAGAAATAATCACCCCTAAATCCCTTTCCTCAGATGTTGAGGTTAGGACTCTATCAAATATTCTGTACTCTGCCCTTGGGTTTTTACGTCCAAGATGCATTATCTTGCACTTATCCACATTAAATGTCAATTGCCACAACTCTGACCATTTTTCTAATTTACCGAAATCAATTGACATTTAGCTTATCCCTCCTAGATCATCAACCCTGTTACATATCTTGGTATCATCAGCAAAAAGACATACATTACCATTAAGACCTTCTGCAATATCACTAATAAAAATATTAAAGAGAATGGGTCCAAGTACAGATCCTTGAGGTATCCCACTGGTGACAAGCCCAAGCTTTGAATACACTCCATTGACTACAACACTCTGTTGCCTGTCACTCAGCCACTGCCATGGGCTTTAAGAAACACCTTCCTGCCATGATGGGTTTTTGGCATTTTCTGGTTGTGTTTAAGGTGACAGTTTGCACTGTATCAATGCAGAATGACGCCACTGTTCACAGCTACCATTGTTATCATGCTGTGTATTAAACCAGGAGGGATCAGATGTTCCTTGTGACAGTGCAGAGGACAACTCAGATTTGCATTTCGCACTTAGGTTGTCCAAGTCAAGCCATTCAAATTGTTAATATAGTGCGATTTTATAAAAGTCTAATTTAATACATATGAGATACAAGAACCTGTGGTGTCCCCTAAATCGTTATGTACCCACTCTTACCACCAAACACGCCCTCTATTCAATAAATGAAAAAAAGATTCCACCCTGGAATTAAATATCTGAATAAAATATCTGAACATTTCTATTATCAAACTTTCATCCTCTGAGAGAATGACTAATGAGGTTATTTACTAAAGACTGGATTTTTTACGGATGGACAACATGGTGAAAATTAACTAATTTTGAGTAGAGATGTGCACGGGCAAAAACTTAGTTTTGATTAGTTTTGGATCTATTTGTAAAAATGTTTCATTTTGAGTCATGGAAAATTCAGAAAATATCAAATCAGACAAGCCGATTTTCGATTTGGAAATTTGTTCACGTTTGAATTTTGGTTTGGAAATGTTAAATATATCTTTTAATATGTCCATGTGGATTTCAATATGTGGTACGGACAATTTATCCACTCCATAGAAGGATATATGAACACGTGTGGTGGACTGCCGTCATTGAATACCATGCCCACTGCTTGTTTGTGAATTTCTCTCTTTATATTATGGGGGTTTTTTCCCCATGTATTTCTATGCCTTTCGTGTGTTGTGCCTGTATATGCAGCTGTGGGTCAACAAATGTGGGGGCAGGGGCGGTGGGAGCAGCAGCTCTGTAAAGTAGAGTTGAGTGAAATGTATTGCCCCCCCCCTTCTTTTTGTGAATGTAAGGCTTGCCTGTATCTCACCCCCTTCACCCTCCTTTTTCCTGTCACAGCAGGAAGTGGACACAGGGACGCTGCCAGCTCAGGTTGCAGGGACTGCTGTGTCCCTCTTCCATCCCACCCCATCAGCTTCTTGTGAGTGAAACCCCTGTTGTTTTGTGTTAGAAACCCCATGTAGGGGTCTGTGCATGAAAAACCTTGTGAAGAAATAAAGAGTCAGTCAGAGTTGTACCTCCAGGACTGTGTGCCGTCCAGTTACTGGTGGGAAAATGGATGCCTGCTTGTTTTAAGGGTTCCTGAGTGGCTGAAGGAAGGGAATTAGTGGAGGTAACTGGTCGGATTACCCGGGGTCCGCTACAACTGGTGGCAAGTGGCGGGATCATACTTCCCAGCCGAAAGGAACCAGCGACCCGTTAATGGAACAAGCATGGCACCCAGTTACAGTAATAGTAGAATGCTCTCAACAAAGAGATGGCCAGGCGCCTGGTGTACTACAAAGAAAACACCTCAGAGGAATCTATGACCAAGATCCTTTCTGATACACAATCATATCTCCTGGCTCAGAGAGATTGGATGAACCCCTCAGCCCCCCACAAACGGCAGACAGGGGAAGTGTCCCCAGGGGTCCCGGCAGCTACTGAACAAAATCCCAAGTTGCCCTACAATGGCTCTCGAGGAGAAGTTCCAGTGCAGGCTGCAAGAAGCTCTATCCCAGGATCATGGCCCTGCTTCAGAGGACAGTGACCTAAATCTGGAAGGAGAGCATTAGCGAGATTTTTCTAACCCCAGAACAGCGACTGCAGTATCAGCTGGATCTGCAGATGTCTTTCCTGGGAAATCAGCCCCTGGAGGAATGGGTGGCTGAACTGTATCTACTGGTCTAGAGGGAACTGTAGGTAGACGACAGTTACCGAGCCTTCGCTGATATGCAGTACAGCTAGCCACGGGCGACCCTCCAGAGAGAGAAGACTATGATGGCCCTGGTCTTCTGTGGGAGGTTCTTGATGATTATGTGTGGTTCGGAGACCCAGACTGTTCCCGCTTCTGGTACATCTGAGATGACCGGGAAGACCTCTTGGACCAGAGATAGCGGAACTACAGCCTGATCTGACCCACCTGGTTAACATGGAGTGGGAGCATGAGCAGGACTAAAGGCACAGGTTCCAGAAACTGGAGACTTAATGGACTTTGCAACCCTGGGAGAGAAGTGTTCCATCCTTCCTCTCCAGTGTGAGTTCATGGGAACGAAGAAAACAGGTCTCTTACATTCACATTGACTTCAATAGCAAAGATGATTTCATCTCATCTTCTACATCTACTCATGAATGTGTTACGTAGAGCAGCTGTCACCAAACAAGGTTTAATTGAGAAGAGACTTTTAAGAAGCCATGTTGACCCATTATAATGATTGTGTTAAGATGAACTTACTTAAAATCCATTAAATCCCAAATTCTCGACTTGTCCACCAGTGACTCTTGAACATATCTACAGTCACTCCACTCTGGTGTATATTAATGTTTATCTGTTTATCTATTTATCTGTCTTCTAAAAGGTTTAGGTCAAACATATAATGCTAGTCCCATTTAACCATAATGGACAGTTTGGTTGACAAATTCACATTTACTGAATTGTAGTGACAGCTCAGCCTCAGGCATTTGAATTACAAAAGAACGTGCCTTGAGCTATCACCAACAAAACCCGCCATTCCTCCACAACGGGCTGAAAAGAGAATTTTTGTAGAAATATGAATGAAACTGTCCGTAATAAAAAACAAAATCAGTCAGTAAAAGCAGCAGTGGACACCTGATAAATTCTAAACCTGTCTTAAATATATGATTTTATTACAGGACATGAAGGCTCATATAATGCTTATCTCTTTCTTTATTATACCTCAGCAGCAAACAGAAGGTATAAGACATTCATAGAAAAAACTAGAAACAAGTACTCAAAGGGTTAACATAGCATCATAACCCTTAACCAATGGGAACAGTCCACATATCAATAACCACCCATGTGACCTTAACTCTCCCTCTTTCTTTGCTGCTGCCTCAGCTACGTATTACCCAGTTTTTTTCTCTACTTTCAGGGGAGCTTCTGTTTGAATTTGCTGTATTTATGTATATTTATTTTATGAACTGGTTTGTCTATGTGTTTTGTTTTAAATGGAGACCATATGTGTTTAACATTTATTTCCCGTTGTTTCCCGCCCTCCCCAGCAGTAAACCCCTCCCTCCCTCACCTCTTTGGGTAGTTTATTACCCGCTCACCTCCTGGCAACCCACCCCCCTTCGCTGGGACACCCTGCTGGGACTGTTTGCCCCGTCGCGGGTATTCCACATACGAGTGCCTGTGCTGACAGGACTTTTGCCGCTCTTTTCCCGGCGCCCCTGCGCCCTGAGGGGTGGGCGCGACCGGATTGGTTGCAGGCTGTGGCTTGCAGCTTACCAGTGCTCCCTTGTGGCCATTCCGGAGGGAACACTCGGTAAGCTGACAGCCATTTTGCTTGTGCCTTGCCCTGTCACTCTTAATTTGCCACATAGGTATAGTACAGGCATTTACATATATACATATATAGTTCTTGTCCATTCACAGCCTAGCATATTGCCACTTGCTCCCACTGGTAATAATTTGATTTTCCCTGGCTTATTGCTAGTACAGCTGATTCATGAGCATTGGTTAGTATGCAGACCCCTAAGGATCAGGAGGTTTCAACCCCTACTGCAGCCAATAAGGGAACCAAACACCGCATATCCCCTACAACACGTCCAATCTCCCCCCAGGGAGAGGATGTGGCATCTATGGAGCAACTGAACTCAGAGGAGTTCCATTCACTCCTAGATGCGACAATGACCAAATCGGTCACCCAGGCCATCTACACGGCGATGGGGGCAATGTCAGATTACCTGACCCAATCCATCAGCAATGACATCTTGGCATCTAGCCACAACCTTAGCGGTCTCCGCCCCAAGGCCCAAGATAACAAGCCTGCATCCCACAGTGGCCGCAAGGCTACTGAAAAGCAAGCAAACCTCCAAAACGATTATGATGGACAGGTTGCGCCCTGTCACTAGTGAGGACGTGGGGCCCCCACGTAAACGAGCCACCTGTCTGGAAAAAACGGTGAGGACATGGAAATGGGCAAAAGCCCTAACAGATGTATCCAACTCTGATTCGGACCCTGGGGAGGTATTGAGTGAGAAGAAATCGGCTCTATTGACTCTGAGAACTCTTCTCCAGATCGCAGCCTGGCAGTAAAACCAGCCAACACTGATAAGGTGGCCGCGGACGATTTCACCATTCTAAACCCACACGGTGAACCCCTATTTAACCCGGATGACCTACAACACCTTAGGTCTACTGAATGGTTCCCGGCTGGCCATGTGGCCCAATACATAGCGGCCAGGATTAGAAAGCCCCTGGATAAAACCACCAGGAATAAACTTAGGACGGAATGCCCATGCCCGACGGTCCCCGATATGGCTTGTGCCACACCGGAGGTAGACCCAAAAATTGCTCAGTTCCTGGGAAAAGCTGGCTGGAAAGCCAAGAAAGGGCTAGATTACTCCCTGCGCCACTGCCAGGACAAGGTGCTAGACTCCTTAGGGAAGCTGCACTCCTGCACTCCTTAGCGAAGCTGCACTCTCCGATGGCACACCAGTGGACCTCTTGGAGATCCGAGAGTGGGCCCAGCGCTCTATTTGCCTCATCGGCAACTCCAACGCTGCATAAGTACAGATAGGCGTAAAGCGATACTCATGAAGATTTACTCAAAACTGGTCAATACGGCTATATTTGAGCCTGGGCCACAGGCAAAAGGCCTCTTTTTCGGAGACAATTTCGTGAAGGAGTTGGGCACTTATGTAAGCACATTTACAGCTCTGGGCAAGGGGCAAACAAATTTAAAGAGAGTGTTCTCTCCAATGGTTTTTGGGGGGGCTGGCAGACACCGGGGCCGTCTGTCCAGCCGTCCATCACGGGGCTCCTACCGGGGCTACCGAGGCCCCACTACATCGAGGTTCCCACAGACGGAGAGCAGAAACCCCTCTCCCTTATTTCCAGTCAGGGGCAGATCATGGCAACCCAGAGGACACAGGGGTGCCACGTACGGCCGACGGCCTTATGGTAAGTGCTCTTCCTTTTCCCCCTTCTTGTACATCATATGTGGGGGGTAGACTATCCCAATTTATCAGGGCATGGCACAGGCTCACATCCGATGCCTGGATTCTCAACACAGTTTTAGGGTACCATATAGAGTTTGTGCAAACCCCAATTCAATCTGCAGTACCACGGCGGATGGTGTTTACCCCACAAGACAGGAAACTCGTGTCGAGGGAAATCAGAGCACTGATGTAGAAAGGCACGATCTACCAAGTTGCACCTCACTCCCCTGGTTTCCTGAGCAACCTTTTCCTGGTACCCAAAAAGGGCGGGGGAGTATATGTGCGATATCACCACTTCAAAATGGAAGGGATTCATTGCCTTCGAGACCTTCTCAGGCTGGGGGATTGGATGGTCAAACTAGACCTACAAGATGCCTATCTCACCATCCCCATCGCGAAGGAGTGTCATCACCTCCTCCAAATTCAATGAAACACAAGGACGTGGAGGTTCCAGTGCCTGCCATTTGGCCTATCATCAGCACCATGGTGCTTTACAAAACTGTTGAATCCGGTGGTGGCACTTCTGCGCAGCAGAGGGGTTTGCATGATCATATATTTGGACAATATGTTGATCATGGCACAAGATGCCCTCTTACATCAACAACACCTATCTTGGGCGATATCTTTCCTGCACAACCTGGGATTCCTAATCAACTGGGAGAAGTTGGTGCTAACCCCCTCCCAGTCCATAGAATTCCTAGGATTCAATATAGAGGCAGTCCAAGGGACCCTAAGCTTACCGCTCATGAAGATCAAAACCATCAAGAAGGAGATTTGCAGAACGTTGGCTCGCCCAAAGCTCACCTTGAGACAACTGGCTAGGATAATTGGACTCCTCTCGCCCTCCATACAAGCGATCTTTCTGGGACCGCTACAGGTCCCTACAGATACTAAAAGCTGCTCAGCTACACTCAGGTCAATCCTACTCAGACTCCGTTCCACTCGATCATACAGCCAAGGAAGAACTCAGTTGGTGGCTGCACCACATGGAAGCATGGAACGGCAGAGCAATCTTCGGCACCGTTCCAGATTGCATAATAGAATCCGATGACAGCAAACGAGGTTGGGGAGCGCGTTGTGGTCATACCTCCACAGGCAGAAAATGGTCCCAATCGGAAAGGGAACTACACATCAACAGCCTGGAACTCATGGCGGTATCATTCGCTCTGAAAAGCCTCCTGGGTCCCACAACACATTGCTCCATCATCTTGAGGATGGACAACATATCAGCGGTATGCTACATCAACCGCCTCAATGACAACAGATCCAAAATATTGGCAGATTTGGCAACAGAATTCTGGCAAAATTGCTTGGAATGCAACATATCAGTACGAGCCAAATACATCCCGGGGCTCTCGAATACCGTAGCGGATTGGAACTCTAGACACCTACGGGATGCCAGCGACTGACGCCTGTACCGTGGGGCGTTCCTACTGCTACAAACGCTTCGGGGCCCGACTTACATAGACCTGTTTGCGTCTCGATTGAATACGCAACTCCCAGAGTTCTTCAGCTGGAGACCAGATCCGGAGGCTTTAGCTACAGATGCATTTCTACAACCATGGCCAAACAGACGACTGTACGTATTCCCCCCTTTCGCTCTGCTAGCCCGGACCTTGGTACACCTCAACTGTTCACAGACGTTCCTGGTTCTCATAACGCCATTCTGGACAGCGCAGCCTTGGTTCCCTTCACTCATGGAGATGTCTATAGACCTTCCCACACTGCTTCCCGAGTATCTACATCTCCTTTCAGACCCCAAAGGGAACCCACATCAACAGATGATGCAGGGCCAACTCAAGTTGTTAGCGTGGCTCCTTTCCGGGGACCCTGGGTCATGCCAGATGTTTCACAATCAACTCTCGAACTACTGGCGGGAGCCTGGGCTCCAGGAACAAGGAGATCCTACAGTCGGGCTTGGAACTCATGGAGTGGTTGGTGCATGGAACAACAAGTGGATCTGTATGTGCCCCTGTGAATTATCTGTTACGTTTTCTTACACTTCTATACGACCAAGGTCTAGCTTAATGTCTACAGGTCAGCGATCTCTGCTGGAAACAAGGGTATAGAAGGATCCCCAGCAGGTAAACACCTCCTCGTATGCAGACTCTTACGGGGCGTTAGATTTGCAAGACCACTACAACCTCGATATACATCAGTATGGGACGTGAACCTAGTCTTAACCTTATTAGAAAAATGGCCACAGAACACAAATCTCACACTTAAACAACTATCAGCGAAATTGGCTATGCTCTTCTGCCTGATATCATGCAAAAGAGTTTCAGATGTCCAAGCATGCACGCTCATTTACCCCAACAGGAGTGACATTCAACATGTCCAGACGTACTAAATCAACAATCTCATCCGTGTTATACCCAGCATTCCTTCACAATGCAAACCTATGTCCAATGGCCTGTCTCAAGGAATACGAGAAACGGACACAGGCATTTCGAAACCCTAGGCATCATGAATTGTTTCTGGCCATTAACACACCACACCAGCCAGTATCTACAGTAACAACAGCCCGATGGGTGAGATGGCTAATGACCTCTGCGAACATGGATACCTCCATATATGGAGCACACTCCACTAGAGGAGCCATGGCGTCTAAGGCTTTTACTTTGGGATGCAGATTAGAAGACCTTTTGAGAATGGCAGACTGGTTCGGTTATGTATGACTTAAATATATTGCATACAGTAGCAACTACAGCATGTAATTTAGTCTGTAGACAATAACATAACGTATAGTATGAATTATTCAGTATCATCGTGACAAATAGTCTCTAGACCACATTTTACCATTTCCTTTCTCTATCCCATTTCAGTTGACGTCTTGGATAACCAGTTATCCTCACAGTTCCCGCAGATAAGTTCACCAGATCCGTTCATATGGAGGAGTTTGACACAACGACGACCGGATATGTTGTTCCAGTTTTTGTTATACTCAAGTTTAATAGCCGATTAAGCTTTGGCATGACCAAAGAAAGAGGGAGAGTTAAGGTCACATGGGTGGTTATTGATACGTGGACTGTTCCCATTGGTTAAGGGTTATGATGCTATGTTTCTAGTTTTTTCTATGAATGTCTTATACCTTCTCTTTGCTGCTGAGGTATAATAAAGAAAGAGATAAGCATAATATTCGCCTCCGTGTCCTTTATGAAATCATGACTTTACGTCATGTAATTAGTAAAATCAGGTAATTTTGAGGAAAAGATGTTGCTATCTGAAATATTGCAGAGACTTAAAGGAAAACTTTGACTAGACTTTGAGGGGCAAGACTATGACTTTGTGGGGTATATGTCTAGGAGGAGGGAATGTGTTGTACTTGGATACTCTGGGTACTTTATAGAAAAACAAATACAAACTACACTATTGTTAGCAGAGATTGTAAAGTTGGAGGAGTTTGAAATATGCTATGGGAGAAGAGGCTGTACTGTTCGAAGGAAAGGCAACATTGCTATGAGGTATGAAACTTGACTCAAAATTGGTGGTTGAGGAGCAACAGATATTCAAACACACTTAAAGGGACACTCCACTGCCCACATACAAAATAAAGATAAAACCACTGTTTAGTAGATATACCCCAAATGAAAACTTGCATGCATTTAATTATGTATTTTTTTTTTAATTGGGGATATACCTAAAAACAGCTTGAAAAAACTGCAGATCTCTTGTCTGCTGCATTTGCGAGCTCTCCCCTTCTAACCCCACCCAGACTTTCTGTAGCTGTCCAATCACAGACATCCCAATACAGCTTAATGAGAAGTATTTCAGCTTAATGAGAAGTCTTTGCTGCCTGGGTAATTGCTGCCTCTTGAGGTCAGCTGCATTGAGCTAATTAAACCAGGAAGTAACATTACCTGTTGTCTGCTTGAAATCCAAGGGGGTGTAACCAGGTTAATTTATAAAAGTGTTGATGTCTTTTAAAATCTGCACTTTTTACAAAATGAAAAAAGAGCACACACTCTTCACACATAAAGCCTTTCAGCAAGCTAAAGTTGTATAGGGGTTTGGAGTGACCCTTTACATGAGGCTGACTGTATAAATTAATCTGAAGCTCATAAAAAAATAAACACATGCTTTTTTTATACAAGCAAATGCTGTACGAATATCTGAGCTTGAAATATGAGCAACATGGTTGAAGCACATAGCATGGAGTTCATGAATATTTGTGAGATTTATTGTTTAATGTAAATCTAAAATAGAATTCACGACAACTGCAGGAGATGCAGCTCTTTGCGTCCCCGCCAAGTTATATTCATTGTAAAACATTAAATGGTTTAGTAAAATACTCTTGGATTCGATATTTCATTCTAACACGCCACACAGCAGACAGAATGTCACATTGCCCGCAATGTTCGGAATTGCCATAAGCCTTAGTACACTTCAGATATTTCCTGTTTTGGTTCTATAAGTGGTTATTGTAGTAGGGTTATCACCTTTATTCAGGAAAGTGCAGTCACAGGCCCTCCTCAGTGCTCTTGCTTGTGAAAAATGCAAAAAACAAATATAACCTCTGACTTTGGCTACTAAAAAAAGACTGGAAATACCCAATTTCAAATACCATGGGTTGTCTACTTTTGCAAATGGTATGCCATACGGTCTCAAAGGCAACATAGGCCCAGAAAACCAGTCTGGCAAATTTCAATGTGTAAAAACTAAAAGGGGAAAGCCCTATATTTGACCCCATAACTTTCCAAAAAAAAACATGAAACCTGTACATGGGGTTACGGTTGTACCTTTGAGACATCCCTGAACACAAATGTGTATTTTATTGTAGTACAAGCTAACAATAGTATAACATTCATAGTTAGAATACCATGCAGGTATTAAGGGTACTAAGAAAATAACCAGATATCTTAATTTCTATAACTTATATAGATTTTATTCACATTATATTATGTTTCATATATAAATATTTGATGTGAAATGAAAGCCCTGTTTATAGTGAATAAAATAATATAGAATAGTGTGGGTACAGAAAGAGGTAAACTATGGTTGAACAGACATATAGCTCAAATTCTAGGTTTTGTTTACATTTTGTTTTGATCAGAACGTCTGTATTTGCCTCCAGTGTTAAGGGGTTAATAATCTATTCTGTCTTTAAGATCTAATATCTTTGTTTAAAAACATGAAGAAACCTCATTAATAGAATTTTGCAAATTGCACGGACATTCTGCTAAATTGCATTTGTGGATTTAATCTACTTTGCTTGGGGACACCAAGGCTTCCATTGCATAAATTGCATTGGCGGTGGCAACTTTCTGATATCATAGTTAAGTGTGGGTTGTGTTAATTGGGATGTTTTTATCATTATTTTCAGTCTAGTGCAGACAAATGGTGGGTTTTTTTTAACTCCCCATAAACATTGGTTCTAATTAAATTGAGGCCAAAGTGTAAAAGAAACTTTCTGCTGTTCAATTCAATTTTACATCATATCTCATTTGTATAAAATCTCGTATCTAGTTCTTGGCTTTCGCACACCAGTATAAAAGACCCTGCAGTTAAAGCAATTGGGAAGGAGAAATACAAAGGGTAGTTTTTTATACATTCCTTTTTTAAATATTTTTTAGATAGATAGATGATAGATAGACAGAAAATATAGTTTTATCAGGGTGAATGCCAATTCTGTTTTAAACAATACAATTGTGGGTTAGGTGATGCAGTCCGTACACCATAAAAATATGTCATGGTATATATTTGAATGCTGTTGAGAGCTTTTAGTGCCTGAAGGCACTCTTCCCTAGCTATACATTTGTATACTATTGTTTATTCATATCCGCAGACTTTGCATTTAACACTATGTTAGCCTGGAACACATGATGCTTTTTCATGTTATGCCACATATAAAAAGACTTAACCAAAAGGATTTAACTATATTGTCTGGTTACTATATTGTCTATAAGTCCTGTGAATAAAAGAGCGTTGCTGTAACATTACCATTATATTGTATGTGCTGCCAGGCCAGATCCTTTGGTGTATTGCATGTTTCTGGTGAAAATTCTAACAGAGGACACTGTTACACCAATCCCTTGTGTTTCCAACAGAATATGGGAGACTGTAGATACTTTTCTGTGCCCAGATGAAAGTGTACCTTCTGGCAAAGTAGAAGTAATGCACATGAGAAGATATAAAGTTTCCAGATGCTCACATCATTGCCCAATGGTGGTGTCTAGAGTTGAACGGACACCTGGATGTTCGGGTTCGGCCGAACATCAGCAAAAAGTTCGAGTTCGGCCTCGAACCTGACCCGAACTTGACCCCGAAACCCATTGAAGTCAATGGAGACCAGAACTTTTGGGCACTAAAATGTCTCTAAAAAAGTCCTGGAAAGGGCTAGAGGGCTGCAATAGGAAGTAAAATGGGGGTAAGAGTAGGGCCCTGCAAACAATTGGGGTAGCCCCCAAAAGATTGGGACATATAAAAAAAGAAAACAAAGAATAAGTGCACTTGAGTATAACAATGGCTGGGTGAGGCCGGTATAATTTTTTTTTTCTGCACAAGGTACAGACAAGTCTGGTGGGATCCATGCCTGGTTCATTTTAATAAACGTGAGCTTGTCCACGTTGGCTGTGGACAGGCGGCTGCGCTTGTCTGTGATAACGCCCCCTGCCGTGCTAAACACACGTTCAGACAATACACTGGCTGCAGGGCAGGCCAGCACCTCCAAGGCATAAAGGGAAAGCTCAGGCCATGTGCCCAATTTGGAGACCAAGAAGTTGAATTGGGCAGGCCCATCAGTCAGTACATGTAGGCGTGTGCACATGTACTGTTCCACCATGTTGCTGAAATGCTGCCTCCTGCTAAGACATTCCATATCAGATGGCGGTGCTGGTTGTTGTGGCGTGCTTACAAAGCTTTTCCACATTTCAGCCATGCTAACCCTGCCTTCTGAGGTGCTGGAGGTGCCCCAGCAGTGTTGGCAACCTCCTCTGCCTTCGCCTTGTGCTTCCACTGAGCCCCCGGTGTCAGTTGGGAATGCCCTCAGCAGCGCGTCTACCAGCGTGCGCTTGCAGTCGCGCATTTTCCGATCACACTCCAGTGATGGAATTAAAGACGGTACGTTGTCCTTGTAACGGGGATCCAGCAGGGTGGCCACCCAGTAATCAGCACAAGTTAGAATGTGGGCAACTTGGCAGTCATTGCGCAGGCACTTGGTGACTCTAGATAACCTCGAACTGATCGCATGCCCCCGTGATGGTGACGACGCATTCGGATGTCTGCCCTATCAATTTACAATGGTACTTTCTGCGCCCACCATGGTGGTAATGGGGAATCAGGGTTCGATTCCGGAGAGGAAGCCTGAGAAACAGCTACCACATCCAAGGAAGGCAGCAGGCGCACAAATTACCCACTCCTGACGCCGGAGGTAGTGACAAAAACTAACAATACAGGACTCTTTCGAGGCCCTGTAATTGGAATGAGTACACTTTAAATCCTTTAATGAGGATTTATTGGAGAGCAAGTCTGGTGCAGAGCGACTGACCTGACCTGCAGCTGAAACTCCACTATCGCCTGCTGCTGCTCGCACAGTCTCTCCAGCATGTGCAAGGCGGAGTTCCACCTTGTGGGCACATTGCATATGACGCAGTGAGTGGGAAGGCTGAAGTTACGCTGCAGCATAGACAGGCGAGCAGCAACAGGGTGAGAACGCTGAAATCGCGCACAGACGGCCCGCACTTTCTGCAGCAGCTCTGATATATCTGGGTAGTTTTTCAGGAATTTCTGTACCACCAAATTTAGCACATGCGCCAGGCAAGGGATGTGCGTCAAACAGGCTAGGCCCAGAGCTGCTATGAGATTTCGCCCATTATCGCACACCACCAGGCCGGGCTTGAGGCTCAGTGGCAACAACCACTCATCGGTCTGTTGTTCCATGCCCGTCCACAGCTCCTGCGCAGTGTGGGGTTTTCCCCCCCAAACATATGAGGTTTAAAACAGCCTGCTGTCGTTTCCCCCTGGCTGTGCTGAAGATGGTGGTGAAGGTGTTACGCTGACTGGATGAGGAGGTGGTAGAGGAGGAGGAGGAAGCGGAGTATGAGGAGGAGGCAACAGAAGGCAAAGAGAAATGCCCTGCAATCCTCTGTGGTGGAAGGACATGCGCCAAACTGCTATCCGCCTCAGGCCCAAACTAACAGATGGTTTATGTCAGGCGACAATGTAACCGCCAATAGTCAACAATTAAGTTCATTGATAGTAAGGCAGTACCGGTGTCCTAAAGAGAAAAAATTTCTAGGGGTCACACAACAGTGTGATAGGCGTAATTAATACAATTACTTCACTGTCTCAAAAAAGTTAGATTTTTATAAACCAACAATGTAAGAGTAGTATTTAAGGGTTTTATTGGACTGCAAGAAATGCACCGCAGGCCGCAAATGTTCTATTTAGCACAAAAAAGTGTATTTTTTTTAAACCAACAATATAACAGTAGTATTTAAGGGTTTTATTGGACTGCAATAAATTTACCGCAGGCCGCAAATGTACTTTTTAGCTCCAAAAAAGTGTGAATTTTTAAAAGTGTGATGTAACCACAGTATTTGACGGTTCTATTTGACTCTCAGATATGAAGTGCACACCCAAAATTTACTTTTTAGCACCACAAAAATTTGAATTTTTCAAAGTGCAATGTAACCACAGTATTTGACGGTTCTATTTGACTCTCAGATATGAAGTGCACGCCCCATATTTACTTTTTAGCACCAAAAAAATTTGAATTTGTCAAACTGCAATGTCACATCAGTATTTAAAAATGCCTAGATGTTGCCCACTGAGCTACAAAAACAGGATTAAAGTAATGTGCCTGGCACACATGCAGTTGCAAGTGCCCACCTAACAAACAGATTGATTGCTTATTTCTCTGTGGCACTAGGTACAGGGCAGGGTACAAAAATGTAGTATAGCACCCACAAAAATAATCGATGTAGTTTGCAGATTCAACACCAGAATTCTTTCCTAATCTGTCCCTCACAGCTGCAGCATCCTCTCCCTTCACTAATAAGAGCTCGTGTGACTCCAGCTTAGATAGAGGCTTGAACACATGCTGCACTGGCCAATCACAGCCATGCCATTAGTAGGCATGGCTGTGATGGCTTCTAAGGGCACACGAGTCAAACGCCTGTTGATTGGCTGCCCTGCAGCCTTTCAAAACGCGTCATTAAATCACCAAACACCGAACGCCAACCCGAACATACAGTGATATGTCCATGTTCGGGTCCAGGGTCCAAAAAACGTAATGTTCTGTACGAACCCGAACTTTACAGTCCGGGTCCACTCAACGCTACTCACAGTATCACAGCATGGATGGAGGCTGCTGGTTGCCTGGCCAACCACAGATCAGCGACAAGAAGTAACCAATAGATTGTAAAACAGGAGGAACAGTAACAAAAAAAATAATCAGCATTTATATATTATATATTTATTAAATACATCATAAATACAGAATTATTTTCTGCTCTTCCTGCAAACTGAGGGGAGACTGGGATCTCAACAGCCACTCCAGCACTATAGTGTTAGGTATACATGTTTGTTACTTTAATCTTTATTACTTACTTACTGGATTTTTTACTAAAGTGAGAATTAAAAGTAATAAAGTGAATTTCAAATTCAGACCACAGTATCAGAACTAAAAGCAAAGCTGGCCTTTATTTATCCAGTTTGTCTATATTGACTTGACTTGATCCCTCTCCCCCCACCCCTCACCACCACAGTGAATAAAGGGTTAAAAACTGTTTATTTACTTAACTGACCCCAGCGGTGATGTCCCTTGGTGCTGGGTTGCGGCTCTGCCTCTTCTGGCATCATTCAACAAGCAGGCACTTATGTGCATGCGAGGTGAGTACCACGCGATCATTAGGCCTCCCTATAATAATAATAATCACAACAAAGGTACATTCAGATTATTCTTGTTTCCATGTACGTCCTAGGGATGTTACCTTAACCCAACATCCAAGGGTTGTTACGATTACCCAATTTAATGGTACTCATTTCATCTACCTCGGAATTATGAAGGGCTGAGTCAACCCTGTGACCCAAGGGTTGAACAGATTCTACTGATGATGCATTAGCCCACTGAGCTTATAAGAAAGCATTGAATCAGTGCTTACTTGGCCTTTCTTTTCTTTTTTTAATAGTATTTTATTAGAAAAGTATCAAATACAATTATAGTTAACATGCTTCAATTTCTATACTGACATATATATTGTGCTAACAAACAGACATCATACTCACAACTTGCTTGAGACTTTGACATGGTTTATATTTCTCTAGACTTATTTCCTATCCATTTATTGGTTATTTTCCTGTATTTTTACTCCTTATTTATAACATTTGCTGTCTGAGTTTAAATCTATCTATATATTCTAACCAGTATCCATACATCCTGTTATTCTATCTGGCTTTTGCATTTAACCATTCATATCCTTTTTCCAACTTCATCTGATATTTGACCTGTTGTATGAGTTCTTGTATACTAGGTACTATTTGTTGTTTCCATTTTCTGGCTATAACAGCCTTTGAGGTTATCCTTACATGAATTATTAGAATTCAATATTTATCCGGTATGTTTCTATCTATCAAGTGCAGTAATGCACATTCTGATCTATTTGTCCTTGGGGGGGATGGGGCTACCTAGATTATTCATGAATCCAAAAGCAGTATTCAATATTTCTTTATCTCTGGGCATTCCCACCAGATGTGTAGGTAGTAACCCATGTTTTTATTGCATCTCCAGCAGCTATCTGTGCTTTCTGGATGTATTGCTTTTGTCGGTACTAAGTACCATCAGTTCATTACCTTGAACAGGTTTTCCTGTAAGTTTATGCTATGGATATATGTATTTGTTACATTCAGGCCATAGTACTAATGTTCCATTTTAATATCTCTTTTTAAGTCATCTTTCCACGCTTTAATTGCCGGTATTCTCGCATAGTGGATATAATTTATTGTTATTACATGTAGAGAGAAACCTTCTCTGTTTTTTTCCCCTTTAAATAAACATTACATTTTTCCCATTGGGTTGTCTTATATCTTACACATTGTTTCATTTAAGACATTTTTGATATGTAAATATGTAAAGACGTGTTTGTTCTGCAATTTAAACGCTTTTTGTAGTGTAGCGTATGGTTTGATATTTATTCCTTTTTTGGGGGGTGGAGCGAGGTGACGTAGTGTACGCAAGCTGCGTCCTTGTCGAATGCGGCTGAGGGAGCGATCAAGGGAGCCTGCGAAGAGTGGAGGGGACAACCTGACATACCTGAGAGGCTGTGAAGCAGGGAGCTGCATTCCATGCCACTACTGAATAGAGAAAACTCAAGGGAGTAAATTTCATGCGTGTATAATCAGTGTGAATCCATCACACTGACATCAGGAGAACAGCAAGCTGCAACTAAACTGTGCCGGAGCATATTTTCTCAAGCTAAGTGCCTAGTGATATATCACTTATAAATACACTGCTGGGGTTAGTACGGACAGTTAGTCTCTGGAACAGGCTTCCCCAAACTCCGGCCCTCCAGATGTTGCTGAACTACAACTCCCATGATTCTCAGCCTATCTATTTCATTTATAGAATCATGGGAGTTGTAGTTCAGCAACATCTGGAGGACCGGAGTTTGGGGAAGCCTGCTCTGGAAGATTAGAGGACTCCTGAGCAAGAACTGAGGGACATCATAGAGAGCAGCAATTAGGGGGCAATAATTTATTTTAACCTTTGCCTATACCAGGAAACTGTCAATCAAGTGGGCTGCAGTGAGTTAAGAAAGCACATCCTGTGGGCTTTTGATGTTTAGTTACATACTTACATAGTTACAGTTACATAGCTGAAAAGAGACTTGCGCCCATCAATTTCAGCCTTCCTCACATTTGTTTTTTGCGGTTGATCCACAAGAAGGCAAAAAAAACAGTCTGAAGCACTTCTAATTTTGCAACAAACTAGCAAAAAAAAAAACCCTTCTTGACCCCAGAATGGCAGTCAGATGTATCCTTGGATCAAGCAGCTATTACCCTACATTGAAAAATTATATTCTTTAATATTCTGTTTTTCGCAAGTATGCGTCTAGTGCTGTTTGAACATCTGTATGGACTCTGATAAAACCACTTCTTCAGGCAGAGAATTCCACATCCTGATTGTTCTTACATTAAAAAAAACTTTCCTTTGTCTTAGATTAAATCTTCTTTCTTCCAGTCTAAACGCATGACCTTGTGTCCTATGTAAAGTCCAGTTTGTGAATAGATTTCCACACAATGGTTTGTATTGGCCCCGAATATATTTGTATAATGTTATCATATCCCCTCTCAGGTGACGTTTTTCTAATCTAAATAGGTTTAAATTTGTTAACCTTTCTTCATAGTTGATATGTTCCATTCCTTTTATTAATTTTGTAGCC